ATTTGGGGTCGTGCAGGGTGTTTGTGGGGCATTTTGGATTCAATTTGGGGTCGTGCAGGGTGTTTGTGGGGCATTTTGGATTCAATTTGGGGTCGTGCAGGGTGTTTGTGGGGCATTTTGGATTCAATTTGGGGTCGGGCAGGGTGTTTGTGGGGCATTTTGGTGAGGATTTGGGGTCGTGCAGGCTGTTTGTGGGGCATTTTGGATTCAATTTGGGGTCGTGCAGGGTGTTTGTGGGGTCTTTGCGCCCCGCATTCCCCCCCCCCTGCACGGCGCATCTCCTGCCCCATCTCCCCGTGGGTTCAGCGCCCCCCTCCCATTCCCCCCCCCCCAAAAAACGGACGCAGCTGAGCCGCTCTCTCGCTCTGCTCGCTTTTATTCCCCCCGCTGACCCCGACTTTCGCTCGCCGCTTCCCCCCATAGCGGACGCACACGGGTCGGATCCTCACCCCGCAGCTCCGCGCTTCGCACGGCTCCCAGCGGAGGCGAATGGCGGGAGGCTTTTCGGGGTTCCCCTCCGCTGCCCCCCCGAAACCCGGCGTCGTCACGGCCGCCCCTCGCACGCCCAGGGCCGCCCCTCGCACACCCAGGGCAGCGCGCTGTCGCACGGCCACTCGAAGCGCGTCCCGTCCCGCCGCAGCGCCGCGCACTTCTGCTGCCGCCCCCCGTCCGCTTCGTTCGGGTGCCGCCGGCTGCGACGGAAGCGCGGTGGGTTTTGGGGAGGATTGAGGAGTGGGGGGGGGGGGTTTAGGGGTGGAGATGGGGGTCTCTCCCCCCCTTTCTCCTCGTTTCCTCATCCCCGGCCCCCCCCTCCCTGTACCCCTGGGTCCGGGTCACGACGGAGCCGTTCGCTCGTTTCCAGGTGCGCTCCAGCTCTTCGTCTCTGATTCCGAGCCACGAGGAGCCGAGCAGCGCGCTTTGGAGGTGAGCCTGGGGGCGGCGGCGGTCGATGGGACGCTGAGACCCCCCCCCCCCCCCCTCCCGAATCCGACCCCCCTCCCGGGACCCCCAGGACCCCCAAGGACGCCGGGTCCCACCGCCGGCTGGGTCCCGATGCTGTGATGCCCCCAAACGCTGCCGGCTCTGCCCCGAGGTGGGGGGAAATGTGAGGTCTTTTTTTTGGCTGGGGGGAGG